GACTGTGTGAGTTGTATAAAATGACAAATGGATCAGATAAAATTTCTCACCTTACCCAGAAACTGCAGGGCAGCTGGACAGTGTCAAGGACAGTGCTTCCAGGGGGCATGCTGCGTGCAGCTTGGCCACATCCTGGTTTGTTTGTTCTTYCTGAGCACTTTCTGCTCAGTTTAGCGACTCATCCTCAGCTGTGAATTGGTGAAACAGAGCCTTGTGCAGGKCAGGCACTGCCCCTTATCTGCTGGCCAGCTTTCCTATCAGCCAAACTAATTTGCTAAGATAATWCTGTTTCCTGCCATCTATTACAATAAATCAACCACTGTAGCTTCATTGAATTCTCTGCCAACTGCTGCCCTTGAAATTCTCAAACTGTATGGGGGGCTGGGAGGGAAACCTGTGCTCTTCTAAATATAAGAAAGTTTTAGATAAACAACTTGATATTCTGCGTAGTGCTGTATCTCCTCAGCCCCACATTAATGGTGTGCCAGAGTCAGCTCAGACTGAGGCAAACCCCAATGCATCAACATTTCTTTGAAAGCAAGTTTTTTTTTTAATAATGTGATCTCGGGTGGTAAAGCACATGTGGATAAACACAAGCACAGAGATATAGAGAACACGAGCACAGGTTCAGCAGAGTGAGAGTGAAATGACAAGGGATTCACTGTTGTGGCTGTTGAAGAGAGAAATAAGGATGTTCCAATTAAATGGTAACTCTCTGGCAATTAAATCTGAAGAGGAAAAAGATATTGAGGATAGGTGGGAATTGAAGAAACKTGAAGCATCCCCAAGCATGCCTTCTACAGGAGCAAGAATTCAGGGGKAAAAGTGTATTCTGCTTTTCCTTACAGCAATATCAAATACCAAGAGCAGCAGTGATATTACAGTTCACAGMCATATTTAAAATGAGAAGATACATTAGTTTATACACTACTTGTATGCTTTGTTTAGATTACATATTTAATAATACCAGTTTGCTGGGGCTTTTTTTAAAGGGTGTTCTATCCCTCATGCAATTCAGCATTTTCTTTTGAATTATCCAGAAGATCAACACTGGTTTTGTGATAGCTCTGCTGGGATGAAACTCAGCCTGTTTAGGTTAGTGAAGGGAGCCAACTCCTTCCTCAGCAACACGGCTGGGTTCATTCAGTCAATCACTTGGCAGAAGGATGTTTAAACATAATTACATATCCCCTCCCTRTCTTTAAATATTCAGAGGAAAAGTCACAGAAGAACCGATAATGTAACAATAATAATGGGGCTGAAGAACAGTATTATAGTGTGAACTCATGTATCCCTTGGTTTCATTTACATGTTTAACAGCTGCTTGTTTCTCAGTTATACAAAGATCATTACCTGACTTGTAAGAAGAAAGGAGGAGTCTSTTCACCTTTGGGCAACTAGCTCTGCATTTATTAATAGCTGTTGCCCATCTCATTATACATTTAATTGCTGCATTATTATTTATTTATTCATTGATTTATWGTAATAGATGAGYAGAAACAAAATTACCTTTGCAAATTACTCCRATAGGTGGGAAGTTTGCATGGTTAAAAATAYCCCAGTGTGCAGTGTGGAATGTGAGATGTTACCCAGTGAATAACATCTTCACACGTAARCAAGAGCAGAGTCAAACTGGTRTCATTACAAAGTGAAGGTAAATCCAGACAATTTATACACTGTTTGAAAAGAAATTATTACAATAACTATAATAAATAGCCCAGCCCCACAGCCCCAGCCCAGCCCCAGGCAGGCTGCAGCACCAAGCAGGGCAGGGGAGCCTCTGACACAGCACCAGAAACCCAGTGGGGCCACTGGGCAGAGCCAGAGACAGAAAATACACACATGGAATTGTTTCTATTTTCAGTTATTAATACATACAGGGAATGTATTTCTGGGTTAGACCCAGAAAAACTACAATTTTTTTCTTCTATTAATTAAAACTAATGATGTGATAAATTTGATTAATGAATAACAATATCCACTATCAAATTTTTGTATACACAGACCGACCAGCTGCAAAACTTGTCAGGGCCASAAAATGCAGTTTGGTTTTTGGCATGGTGGTTTTATTTTTGTCCTTAAGAGGTGGAGCCCGCAGCAGCTCCCAGGGGCGGTGGGATTCCTCCAGGGCCCGGTTCCTGAGCGGGCAGGGGCAGGATGCTCCTGGGGAGCCTGAGGGTCTAGGAGCAGCCACACCACCGGGCAAAATCTTTTCTCATTCCGCTCCTGGGCTCTCTCCTGTGACGCTTCGTTTTGCGTGAAAGTTTTTGGTGTGACAAATTATTACTTCATTCGTGTTGTTTATACAGTTTTCATCAGCTTCCACTAAGTGCAGCAATCGCCCTAAGATTTCCTGGGCATTTTGCAACTCCCAAGCAGTCTCTGCTCCAGTCTCTGAGCCGCAGGGACCGTTTGGGTCCGGTTTGGCACGATGGGCCGGGAGGCGGTGCGGGGAGACCCGGGGGTGCCCGGAGCACGCTGCCAGCCCAGCGCTGGGACAGCTCCGG